TTGGGCTATATTAGTGTGTATATATCAGTTTGCCTGCTCCTGTGGAGTCGAGTATATGGGCCATATCATGCGCCAGCTTTTGCAACGCGCTCGCAAATACTGTCTAACATAACTGACAAGGGGAGAACAGAAATCCTTCCTCATCTCTGTGACAGAAAACTTAACAAACTCAGGATATTTAGCTGTTTTTTTATAAGCCCTTCAAAATCATGTACAAAGTGTGATCAGGCTACACAAAAGGGATGAAACTAAGACATATATGCATAGCTAAAGCACTAGCGATTCAAAAATCCAAACCATCATTACGCCTTGAAAAGATGTCAGTACAACCTCTTTCTTTGCGATGCCAATGGTAAATTATCCATCTCTCTAAATAACCCTCACGCATGACGTAATTATTATTAATTTTTATTTTGTAATCATTTGGTTGACTTCCCGGTTGCGTAACTTTCCTTTTCGATGCAAGTTGTATTGGCCGGGAGTTACTGTAGAATGTTCTATCCTTTTTACGACATATTCACGAGTGTACAGCTAAGAGAATAGCTTCGTCCAGAAAAAAATGTTTCCTTGCTGAAATCATGTATTTCCCTGTATTCAATCTCTTATCTAATCATGGTCTAAACACTTTTACAATCTTTTTCCGATTTCATCATCCCTGTTTCTCTCTTCACCTTCTATCAAGTAGACACTTGGTCTTTGCATTTCACATCTATCAACATTTTTCACCTTGAATTTGGCGGTTTATAGGGATTTAGTGATTTTTCAACTTGGTATTAAAGCATAGACTGACATCAGTTGGAGGAACATTGAAAACGTAGAAGCACTGGATAGCCTCTTCATCCGACTGATATGAGACTCCCTAGCAGCCCACACCCATGACCCCACTAGAGATCGCATCCAGAACATTCAGGTTCCGTAGTCAGCATGTTACCAGTGAACCACTAAGTTGATAAATCCCTGAGTCCCCACAAACACCTAAACTCCTCAATTGATCTAGTACTCATTGGTGACTAGCTTCGAGAGGTGATTCCTGACGTTCCAATGCGAAGTCTCAACTAATGGGGTAAACCTGGTGATTGTGAGGACAAATACTCAGCACCGATATTGGGTGATGGTCACGCTATATCCTGAATTGACAGAAGTTGAAATATGCGATATCGGATTCCGCCGACCCATTGGATCAGTGGTGACGTGCTGACCAGGGAGCCTGAAGGTAGCGGGTTCAGTCCCCGGAGGGGTCTTGGGTGCACGCTGCTGAGGAGCCTCATACTAGTCGAACGAAACAGCTGTCCAGTGCTCCTAGGTTTCCAATGTTCCTTTAACTGATGCCAGCCCATAGTGAATACCAAGGTGAAAAAAATGTCATTTGATCAAACACCCTACCTTTCTAAATGTTTCGATTGTGTGAAAGATTATTACGTAACTGCCTTCCGTTCTTGATTTCACTTTTTAGCACTAACCGGCTTAATGATGCAGTTATGCCTTATTGCTTAATAATAGACTGTTTGTGATGCTTGTAGATGCGACTGTACAGCTTTATAAAATGACATCATAGAGAGAGAAAATTTTCTTCGTTGAATTGTCTGTTGTTTCCTTATTTTCCTATATTTTGCATAACTAAGGTGTTCGCTATCCACTTAGAAAATCCTAACCAGTGTAGAAAGGAAAATATGTTTAGTCTCTTCTTCTACCATCGCCTTAGTTCGAAATCAGTTACTTTATTTTGATTGTTTTCTCTGAGATTACTCCTCTCTCTAGTCTCATCCACTTCCTGCATAATATCTGGTAATTTCTGTTTGTATGCTCATGTAAACCCCTGTCATAATATGCAACAGCTCATCTGAATCTAATGGCCATTATGTAACTTGTTACATTTTAATTTATCGTCACTACTCATATTTCAAGTTGTTATTCATCGTAGACTGACATCAGTTGGAGGAACAAAGGAAACCTGGGAGCACTGGACACGTTTTGTCCGACTAGTATGAGACTACTCAACAGTGCGCACCCACTACCCCACCCCACCAGGGATCGAAACCTTGACCTTCAGGTTCCGTGGCCAGCACGTTACCATTGAGCTAGCCACTGGGTCAGAATCCAATGATCCATATTTCCAACTTCTGTTAGCTCACGATATAGCGCAACTGCAACCACTCATATTAACGAAATATACTGCTGAACAACTTGAGTAGACAGAAACTACTCAGGCTGATGTATCGATTTCATCCACCAGATCAGTGTGATCCAAACACCGCATGGTTGTTTCGCTCGCTTGGGCCAGAACTCATTAGCAGTGTATATGGACAAATCCAGCTGGCGGAGGTGAACTAGTTTAGACCACCTGAATCTGGCTAACTGATATGTATGCAGCGGATGATCAGTTTTTGCAAATGGCTTACAAATAACACGGTTTACACTAACAAAAGCTACTTAGCCATACGAGATGTCAGTGTGGACCCTGAGATTTATAAATCGTTTACGAATTGACGATTCTATTCATGCATGTAAGCAAATTGGTCAGATAGAGATTATCTCATTTTTTTCGGCTACATCGCCGATTAGCTCGGATCGACATCAACAGATAAGTCTGAACGGTTTCTAACTACTCAGATTATCAGCATTGAAACAGTGTTTCGTACAAACGATGGCAAATTATTTGATATGAACTGCATCACATTTAAGAGAACTGAAATCCCGGTCGCCAATTTGTAATTGAACACAATATATGACTCTGGTATCCTCACACGGCTCCGACCCACTAAAATGAAATCAGGACAAGTTATTTACCACGCTGTTATTACTGTTCTTTCTTTCCATCTCATTGTACAATAATGGAAGGCAACGAATAACGACCTAACCTCATTGTATTCTATGCAATCCAAGTCATACATGCATACAATCGAACCACATGAATACAAACTAATCTCATACACAGGAAAAAACTCTTTTGCTTAGACGACAATTGTCACCTTAACCATGTAGTGTACGGAATTGGGCGAGGAGTCAATAAATAACCACTAAACTGAGTTATACAATAACTACAAAATAAGTCTTAAGTAGTACATCTCCTAAAATAAATGAAGTAGTGCGAACCACAGCATCTGTCTGAGAAAAGTATATTTTGATTTCTGAAGATATACTATCCTCTTAGCTGTCAAAAATAATGGTAATAGTGATGATATTCTTTTAAGGTTGGAATAAACAAGAAGTCCTGAATGCCATAAAATCGCTGAAATCCAGGAAAGCAGCAGGAACACATGGAATTCCACAGGAAGCACTGAAAACAGACACAGAGACAACAGCGAACATGCTCACATCACTACTGCAGAAAGTAGAGAGGATGGAAGGAAGGAAGGAAGGAAAGATACCTGTCCACTGATTGGAAGAAGGGTTACAGTGTCCAACTTCCAGTGCAGGTGACGTGAATCATGCTTCACGCCTGTCCACCCTAAGGCAAATTATTAACACACATCATCCTACAGAAACTAGAAAATACTATACAACCAAAATTACAACCGGAACAGGCGAGATGGATTCAGGAAGAAAAAATGATGTGCAAATTAACTTCCAACACCACGCTAAGCATCATCATAGAACAGAGTAGTGAGTGGCAGTCTACTCTCTACATGTACCTCAACTTCATCCATTTTCAAAACACCATCGACAGTGCCAACCGATAAGTAATTTGTAGACTGCTTCAACACTACACTTCTAGTACCACAAAATACCATCAACATCATTCAACACCAAATATATGCTATATGATGATGATACATACCAAGTGATTGACAACACAATGGGAGGCTCATTGATGCCTTTGAAGTGAAGTGAAGTGAAGTGAAGACAGGTGGACAAGTGAGACAAGGTTGCTGCCTACTATCACCGATCATCTTCCTCATTGTGGTCGACTCAACTCGATTCGACTTGACTCGAGTGGATCATGCAAGAAAGAGAGAGGTGTGATAAGGTGGACATACACTGGCTGTTTGACTGATGAAAAGAGATTAGAACATGTCAATTTCCTCTCCGATGATGATGATGATGATTTATGTCTAATGTCATATGTCGCACAAACTCGAATATTTACAGGTGAGAACCAATAAGGTGAGAGAATATGCAGGTCAGGGAAGGAAGACGTGACTCCTTTCAGGTGAACGTGGAGAATACAGAGGTGATTGAGATACTCAACCGACAACAACAGCAGCAACCAGACGCACCAATCACCACCAACGAGAGAAATCTAACGGTAGTAGTCTCTGTCACTCAACTATCTACGAGGCAACATCATCTCAACCACGGGCGGCGGCACAGACATATATGAGGATGTCAAAGTCAACCAGGATTGGAAAGACAATGAGACAGGCCTTCTTGCATTAATCTGAAACCAGTGTGGAGACCTACTGCACAACACTGCACTCAGCATATGAAACGACATCGAGATTTTCAACTTTAATTGAGTCAAGTAAGTCAGTGCTTCTATGTGATGGTTGAGGGCGTTGGCGCGTTACTTGAAGTACTCGCCACAAACTACAGACAGTCATCAACAGCTGCCTACACTGGAAACTGAAGTTCAGATGGATGGCCAGTAAGAATAAGTAAGGAGGAACTGTTGCCTGGCAATGAACCAACGGAGCAAGAACCCATCGTCCAGCGAATGTACATGCGAAAGTGGAGTTGGACTGAGCATACACTGAAAAGACCGATTGGGGACATCACGCGCTAGACTAGGTCAGGCAGTCGAGTGGAACCTCGAATGGGAAACAACGAGTTGGACGTCGGAGGTGAGGGTGAAATGGAGGAGATGGTGTGTGAGGGAAAAGTGAAAGCTTCTGGGCAGTGGTGGAGCCAGGTTGAGTGGACTGCAGAGAAGAGTGTGAACGTCGACGTACTATTGAATCCCTATGTCCCACTAGGAACCCAAGGGATAAAGAATAGTATATTCATCAACATATTAAAATGTATATTGATTATAATTATACAGATAAAACAAATAGACTTGCCTCATTTCCTTCGCCATTATTTGTACCAACTGTGTGTATCGAATCAATTGACTGAGATAATATCATCATAGAATCCTCATTAAGATTGGCGCTTAAACAATTCCCCTCTAAATTGATAGATGGATCATCATCGGTTAACGAATTCTCAGAATGATATGAAGTGGAATGATGTGAATTAACATTCGACATATTAGGTTGTGGAGTTTTTTGGTGGAAGCATGTTAGTAGGCGTATTCGTCGTCATTTGAATGGTTTCACACATGACAGAATATCATCTCGATAGTTTATCCAAAGATGAAGTTATATATATATATGTATATATTTATAATATGCGTATATTGGCAATGTCTCAGGAAAATAAGAATAAGGAAATGTCTTGATAAGGTGACTTTTAATTTGACGACCCAACAAGTTAATCAGGTAAACGCCCACTTTGGGCTTCGTATTGTACACTTTATAATTGTGGGCTAATCTACCTGCATGGCGTGTTTACAAAGAAGAACTTCTAATTAATATAAGTACCTATTGGTGTAACGCCCTTTTTATTTCAAAGGGGTGTCCTAAAGGTAACGACATATTTGTGTACATATGTCTAACTATCACTCTTCTTTGAGTACTAAACAACGATTTTATTCAATCAACCAATCAAACGGCTAGTACAAATAATTTAACTGTGTCAAGAAAACTAGTCATTTCATAAGGTGTAGACGTCGCTATTACAAGATGACAATAGTAACTCACAGATAAAAACAAGGCAAAGAAGCACTTCTTTTCAACGACTTCATTATCAAGTTGTACAGTAGTCGTATTTATACTCGGTAAAGTCACACATTATTTCACTAAAAAGTTGCTCAGTCAATATACAAAATATACAATCGGTGTAGGTGATGGTATTTATTCAAGTGGAAGAGATAGACAATGGGTGATTGAGAATAAGGACGGACGAATTGATAACAAGTGATGAGATAAGAGATAAGATTTATTGACAAGAATCTGAAGAAACGAACCAATCCCCATCTTATTAAAGTCTTTAAGAAAATTTTAACCATGAATCTGGAATTCAAAGGAGACACCACAGCCGAAGTGTTGAAAAATCGTCTGTCAAGATGTATCAATAGTAGCTTCTATGCTGCTAGACTAAAACTGATATTCTCCAGCCGTCGTCTGATTTGTCAATGCGTGAACGATAGGCTTCCACTTATGCACCTCGAGATTCATCCTTTAAAGTAATTTACAGCGTTGAATTGAACTACTCTAAAGGTTTACGTTTCTACTACTTATGCATAGCTGAAGCATTAGCTATACACGAACAAAAGCCGAAACTTTGCACTCAAAAACCTTTTGTGAAACCACTTTCTCTACCTTAGCCTTAACAATTCCTTGTTGGTTACTTTTGTCAATTTCGGTTCACTTTCGTATACTTCTCTTTTATGATCATCATTATCACCAATTTTCACTTCATTGACAACACTTGAACTATATTCCACTCTTAAATATTTCAAGTTGTTATTCATCGCAGACTGATATCAGTTGGAGGAACAAAGGAAACCTAGAAGCACTGGACACCTGTTTCGTCCGACTAGTATAGGACTCCTCAGTAGTGCGCACCCACGACCTTCAGGTTCCGTGGCCAGCGCGTTACCACTGAGCTAGCCACTAGGTCAGAATCCAATGCTCCATATTTTAACTTCTGTTAGCTCATGATAAATATCACTTCATTTTTTAATCATTGACTTATTGTACACGTTTCAGCTTAATTATCACCGTTTTACAATTCTTTGATAACACTTGTCTCTTATCTCATCACTTGTTATCAATTCGTCCGTCCTTATTCTCAATCACCCATTGTCTATCTCTTCCACTTGAATAAATACCATCACCTACACCGATTGTATATTTTGTATATTGACTGAGCAACTTTTTAGTGAAATAATGTTTGACTTTACCGAGTATAAATACGACTACTGTACAACTTGATAATGAAGTTGTTGAAAAGAAATATTTCTTCGGTGATGCATAACTTACAGATGTTGAATGAATGTTGTAACTGAAACTCACATATAAATCAGTAGTGTCTTGAAAAGACTTATTTGAAGTCTTCGCCAAAATACACTACGTTCTTTTCAGTGAGTACTTATGCATATCAGCGAGTCTTAAATAACCAATAACTCTAGTATACCTATGGTTATGAAACATGGAAAATAATTGCACCACATCAGTTGAAGGTTAATTAATGTTTTTTAAATAAGTTGTTCTCATTCACATTTGAGGCAGTTTTCAATCAATCGAAATCAATACCAACACATGACCAGGCATTAATGACAATGCTCCAAGTTACTACACCTTATATCAGCACACCAAGTAACAAAGTAGTAAGATGAAAGATGAAGAAACCGAAGAGAAACGGTGAAAAGTAGAAATACGAGGTAAAAGAAAGGAAGGAGGAGTGGGAAAACGCTCAATTCAGTTTAGCGATTAATGTAAAGATAATGTGTGGATGAATCTGCGCCAATGATATCGATTCTGAGCCATATCACCTAGAGTCTCCGATCATCGGTTTCCGTTGTCACGTGAATCCCAACCGGTTATTCTGCATCATTCTATATGGCTCAAACCGACAGTCAGGTACTTCATGCAGTGATGTCATGTTTCAGTGTGGCCGCCCCTAGCCTTTTTCCGACCTGAACCTACTTCACCCAACATTGTTCGATGAGGCAAATGGTGACTAGGCAGGTGTAACACATGTCTCAGTCGACTTAGTCGACAATGGTTCACGACCATATCAGCTGACTTTCCTTCCTTCCCCAAAACTATAAACCTGACTTCTGCGTTATTCACGTGATGATACCACGAAATACGGCCCATGCTACTAGGGTAGCGGTGGTCAAACATCTGAAGACTCTTCTCCCAACAGCAGAGCAGAACGAACTGCAGCGCAGTACACTCCACCCTTAATAGGCAGTCAAATATTCCAGCGGCGCCACAGATGGTGCAAGCTGATGAAAGCCAAACAACACTTTTGTATCCGTTTTGAGATTTTGTCAGCCACTGACTAACGCACCACGGCTGATCTGACTTCCTAGGTAAATGAAATGGTTAACGCATTCAATTACCTTACTCCCTACTGTTAGCCTAAGCACCGCTTAAGACCAGTTGTGGAGCACTAATTTGCATTTGAGTGGTGAGATATCCTAACTGCCGTTTACTGTAACTGAATAGTAACATACACAGGTTTATTCACCAACTATGAAGTCTATATCTAATCTGAAAACTGATGATGTCACTAAGTTATTTGATGGCTATTGACTGGCAGAGTTTAGCATCTTTTTCACAAAAGTATAAGACTGAGCCCCTAAACATTTCTACTATAGTTAATGAGTAGCCAGACAACACTGAATCAAGCTAATACATCTATTGGTAAGTCACAAGTTGGTTGAATGGGATGAAAAACTAATTGTCCACTTGGAATTTGATCTCTAGAAGGTAAGAAGATATTAAATGCAAGGGAAATGATATCCAAAAGCGTAAGCCGTAGAGACTTTTCAGCTCTTAAAGAAAAGACTGTTCAGAGATCCCTCAGTTTTTTACTGATGTACGAAGTCTTTGTGATCCAAGACAAAGAAGCACTGTGAATTCACAACATTTCAAATCTTTGAAAGAACTACAAAACGGATCTGACATAATCATTCTCAATCCCAATTTATTGTCCATATTCATATCAGGTAACTGACTCCACAGTTACCTGATGCGGAACAAGATACGGATTCTCAACACCAACGTCAAGTCAGTGCTCCTGTATGGTTCAGAGACTTGGCGCGTCATGAAAGGCATTTCCAATAAACTACAGACATTCATCAACAACTGCTTACGCTCACTTGTTACTGAAGCTCACATGGCCAGAAAGAATAAGCAACAAGGAACTCTGGGAACGAACCAACCAAGAACCTATCACCCAACAAATATGCAGGAAGAAGTGGAGATGGATTGGGCATTCACTGAGAAGGCCGACTGAGGACATCACGCCCCAGGCCCTCAAGTGGAATCCCCATGGGAAGCGACGAGTTGGACGTCCGAGGGTGACATGGAAGAGGTCGTGCGACGAGGAAATGAGAGGTTGTGGGCTGTCGTGGAACCAGGTTCAAAAGATCTCAGAGAACAGAGGTCACTGGAGACGTGCTACTGAAGCCCTATGTTCCACTAGGAACCCAAGGGACTAATAATAATAATAATAATAAACTGACTCCACAACTTCGAGACAGACTATGTATATTCCTAATTTTCTCTCCTCTGTGATGATAAAAATAGTAGGATAAACCATATATCTGGGGGAGGTGTAGAATCATTTCTATTACTGCATGTATTTGATGCTGATTCGATAAACAAAGATTCAGTGATCATCAATCTCTCCCTCCCTCCACCCAACTAAATTACATTTCAACAGTGTCGCCCTGTCCCACTCTACTGTATGATTGATTGTGTGTCATTGCATGCACAGCTATAGCCGAGCAACTTTTCGCTAGATTTCTCATCTTATTACGATCTACTAATCTTGATTTCGCTAAGCTTTTGTGCTGTGTTATTCTAATCGACTCTGGTCGACTGCTTTTACCTATGTGCCTGACCTCATAATCATTGCAGGGGATCTGGTAAACCAGATTATTTTGCTTCATTGCATTGATAGGATCTTTCAACCCACAAAGCTTGTTTTTAAGCAAGTTTGTTGGTTTGAATGCCACTTTAATCCCAGCTAGACTTATTGAGAATTCTTCGTAATGCTTCTGAGGTGCCATCATTCTTTGGATTTCTTATGAATTTATTCATAAATGTTGGTGGGTAATTATTGAGACGTAGGGTATTCTTGATGTGTCTAATTTCTTGTTGCAGATTTTCCGATCTACTCGTAAGCTTTTTCATTCTATCACTTAAGCATTTAACTAGGTCTAATTTAACTGAAATGAAGTGGGAGGATTCGAAGTCTAAGTAGCGATTCAAATGGATAGGTTTCCTCAGTGATGAAAGTAAATTCATAACCGATATCCTATCAGAAGATATTAAAGGATTTCAAGCGAAAGTAACCACTAATTTAACAGAGAAGTTTAAAACGAATTCTGTAAGCTTTCATTCTTGGTGACTGTCTTAGTAACCTGAATGTCAAAAACAATACTATGTACTCCTTTGGTGTAAAACTG